CTGGATTTTCTCATTTGTAATATTTCAGTCAACTGAATATGCAATGTATATAGTGTAGTCAGTCCATTGAAACTGTATGTATGAACTTAACTGAATTTTTTAGTGTTCAAAAGATTTCAGTTAACTGAATATGTATCAGTTTCACCTAGTAATTTGTAATATTTATTTGTGCACTGTATATACTTCAGTTTTTTATTGATTTTAATTATTAGAAATGTATGCATAGAAATTAATGTGTAGCTTCTTTGCTTTGTAGTTTGTGTGATGATGTGTGGAAAGTTAGGCTCCATTTTCATGACAGGGACAATTTGGAAAAGACCATGTGTCTTTCTGACATAACATTTCTAAATCTAATAGCACTAATAGAGACAGCAGGCTATGGAGAGGATGACTACATGTACTTTGTTAGGGATGCTGGCTTGGGAGTAGCTGGTTTGGAAGAGATCTGTGATGATGACAAGGTTGATGAGATGCTAGACCACATTGCCAACAGAGATCAGACCATAGTTAATCTGACAGTAGTTAGGGGTAGTGAGCCCAGACCTGGAGATTTAACATTGGTCATGTTTGTGAGCAGCAGGTCCCTATAGGCAGTGTTGGAGAGAGGACTGTGTATGAGGTCAGTGAGGAAGGTGTGGTGTATAGGTCACCATCCAGAAAAACAAGGAGAGTTGCACAAGTTGATGAGCAGGAGGCACAAGATATGGATCAAGGAAATGCAGGAGATGTTGATTTGGAGCTAGAGGAGTTGGAAAGAACTATGGAGCTTAAGAGGAGGAATAAAATACAGAGGTATAAGAAGCATAAGAAGAGTGTCGAGAGGGTGGAGGCAGTTAAAAGAAAACTTCATGTTTTACTAACTGAAGATGACTCTGACTTGGAGCAAGATGATGATTTCATGGCTAGGATGGCTGAGATGAGGAGGCAGAGACATGACCCATTTTTACACCTTGAAGGTGACACTGATGTTGAAGAACCTTATGAGCTAGAAGAAGAGGTAGTGCATGAGAAACATGGAGAGGATGATAAGCATGGAGAGGATAAGGAAATTGAAGAGGAGGTGGTACCACAAGGGGAAAAGAGGAAGAAGTTGAAAGTAAGAAAGGGTCCAACTAGTAGATCACATGCAAGTTTGGAGCAAAAATTTGAGGACGTTTGGGTGCCATCATCTGATGAGGATCCAAATCCTGGTGATTTGAAGGAGTAGGATGATGATGGGGCAGTACCCCTAGCTTTTGTGCTTGGCAATAAGAGTAGGGCCAAAAAACCCAAACCAAGAATATGGTATGAGAGGATAGAGAGAGCCCAGAGATGCAGTTTGTAAAGAAGCTTTGTTTTGAAAGTGTTTACCAATTTAGAAGGGCACTTCTCACATTTCACATATCTCAAAACAAAAACTATCAGTTTCATAGGAACTGCAATGACAAAATCATAGCTATTTGCAGACATGAAGATTGCCCTTTTTTCATTACAGCTTCTGTGTTGGCAAATGAGAGAACATTTTGCATTAGAAAGGCAATTTTTTTGCACACATGTCCAGCTGTAGCAGAGAGCACCAAGGTGACTACCAAGTGGGTCACACATCAGGTGTTAGAAGCAATAAGAACAGACTTGAACACATCAATAACTACAATAATGCAAAATCTGAAGAGCAAGTATGGAGTTGAGATCAGCACTCATATGGCCTACAGGGCTAAGAACAAACCAGTTGAGATGGTGCAAGGAGATCAGAGGGGTCAGTATACCAGGATCAGGGATTATTTGCAGGCCGTCTTGGACACAAATCCAGGTAGTAGGTGCATTGTCACTACTAAATTCTCGAAGGAGCATCCAAGCAAAAATCCAAGGTTCCATGGCCTGTTCATCTGTTTGAATGCTTGCAAGGAAGGATTTCTGAATGGATGTAGACCATTCATAGGTGATTACTTTACTTTGTTTATTTTGCCTTGTTTGAATGTCTTGTTTCTGACTTGTGTTGTGTGCCATTGCAGGTGTGGATGGATGCTTCATCAAGCTGTCTACTGGCCAACAAATCCTGGTTGCCACAGGAAGAGATGGGAATAATAACATATATCCCATTGCTTTTGTAGTTGTGGACAAAGAAGACACAAAAAGTTGGACTTCGTTTCTATCTGAACTAAAGATAGAAATTGGTGGAGAATCAGGGAGATTTGGTTATTACACCATAATCTCTGATAGACAGAAGGTAATTCCCATGTTTAGTTGTATTTTATAATATACATTGCTTAGTTCATAATTGCACAGTTCACAATTGCATAGTACATAATTGCTTAATTAGTTGTTGGTCATATACATTGCTTAGTTGTGATTATGATGAAACAGGGCCTTCTTAAAGCTGCAAACAATGTATTCCCCAACTGCCCACATAGATTCTGCCTTAGGCACATCTATCAAAACTTTCAGACTGCTGGTTTTAGGGGGTTAGAATTAAAGAAGTACATGGATAAAGCTACTTACTCTTATACTGAACATGGCCATCTTGCTGCAATGGATGCTCTTAAAAATGAGTGTAAGGCTGCTTGGGCTTGGCTTAATAAAGTTCATAGAGCTGCTTGGGCTAGATTTGCAATGGACTTCAATTGCAAAACTGACCCAGTTGTCAACAATATTAGTGAGGTCTTTAACAAGATGATATTAGATGTGAGGGGCAAACCAATAAAGAGCATGATAGATGGAATCAGGACAAAGTTGATGGTTAGGTTCAATGGTAATAGGACTAAGACAGATGTAGCCAAGTGGGATATATGCCCAACATATGCTGAGTTGCTTGAAGAAGCAAAGAAAAAATCTAGGAACTGTCAAGCATTGATGGCTGGGCCAAATATCTACCAAGTGACAAGCAATGAGAGAACTTATTCAGTTAACCTGCAGCATAGGACATGTGGGTGCAGGAAATGGGATATGACTGCAGTCCCATGCAATCATGCAGTATCAGCTATCACCAAAGCCAAACTGAGGCCTGAAGACTTTGTGCATGAATTTTTCAAAAAGCCAATGTATCTGGCAGCATACAACCCCATCATATACCCTATACCAGGACAAGATTTGTGGCCCAAGACCAATACCAGAGACATAGAACCCCCAGTGTTCAAGGATAAGCTAGGGAAGAAGCAAACCAAGAGGAGAAGAAGCCAGTTTGAGCCACCAGCACCCAAAGATACATCTAGGATGGCTTCAAATACATGCAGCAACTGCCAGCTTGTAGGTCACAGATACACATCATGCAAACAGACTCTAAAACCAGGCTTAGCAATGAGAAAGAACAAGCATCAGGTTTGTACAAGCATCACAGATACACATCATTTTGTTTTCTAACACTTGAATGTATTAACTTGCTACAATTCTTATATGCAGTCTAGCAACACAGAGGAGGGTAGCACACAAGGAAGCAGGGCAGCTTCTTCAACAACTCCAGCACCAAGGGGATCAACAAGTGGAACACCAAGGGCAGCTTCTTCAACAACTCCAGCACCAAGGGCAGCTTCCTCAATAGCTCCAGCACCAAGGGCAGCTTCTTCAACAGCTCCACCACCAAGGGCAGCTTCTTCAACAGCTCCAGCACCAAGAGCAGCTTCTTCAACTACTCCAACACCAAGGGAAGCTTCTTCAACTACAGGTGCAGCAACAAGGGCAAGGGCAGCCAGCTCAACTGCTGCCAGGAGAGCTTCTTGGAACCCACCAAGACAGAGAAAGCAACCCAGCAGGCTGAAAGACTATTTCTATGCTTCTGGGAACTGATGTTGAACCTTGATGATGGTGTGATCTAGCTAAACTAGTAATTGCTAAGATATATTTTGGCAACAACTTATGGTACTCTAATCTGGCTGAACTAGTAATTGCTATGTTTCATGATGATGTGATATGGTACTGTAATCTATGAATCTATGAATCTATATGATGCACTGTACTTAAGCCTCTCTATTTGTGTCAAGTTGGCTTGTTATTATGGCCATTACAATGTTCACTAGTTTAGGCTAACTAGTAATTGTTATATGATGCACTATATGATGAAATGAGGCTAGGGGTCACCCTAGGGTCATTTTGTTGATAAGTCGATGATATGAGGCTTGGGGTCACCCTAGGGTCATTTTGTCGATAAGTCGATGACATGAGGCTTGGGGTCACCCTAGGGTCATTTTGTCGATAAGTCGATGATATGAGGCTAGGGGT